CACCTTTAGATATTATATTTACACTCTTACATTTAAAGTTTTGCATTTTCCTTAATATCTAACGATCGTTTGTATGGCAGGTATATGATATAGTCGTCCGTTTTAGAATTATATATATATACTATCTGTACCCTGCCACTTTTCTCTGTGGCATATTGTGGTTAAGAGGGCACTTCTGAATACATCAAGGTTATGGCAAAAGCATCTTCCTGGCATAAGGTGAAGAAGGCAGTCAGAGTTGTCGTAGGCGGATTGAGGACTCTTTCTTGCACATTTAGTTCTGTGAAATAGACACGTTGACCATTCTCCAAATTGACTGCCAAGGGAACTACAGCTGGATAGCGGTCATGAATTGGGAACGAAAAAATTCGCCATGTAGCCTCGTTGCTGCTTATGTATCTTCCAGCCTGGTATTGAGAGATTTCATCGACAACTCGTACTGCATTGCTGTCACCATTTTCTGCCTGAACACCAAAAACTGCCATATCGCTGCCTTTATTCACGTACTTGCGGTTATATTTAATCGATTTCACGGAATTGCAATATTCTACGTTGATGTGCGCTTTGTATGATTTTGACAATAGTGGTGAGTATGGAACCACCCAACGATTGTCTACCTCAATATCACCAATTCTCATGTTTAAAGTTGCCGAAGTCCCGCCATCTTCAGTTGACCGTCTCCTATACAGAGGATATCCATCGTCCCCTGTTACGGTGTTGGCTGTAAATGCTCGAGGATATCGCTTGAAACACTTCCCGTCTACCATTCATGGTCAACATGGGTTGAGGGTACCATAAGGGCCATGGATCATGTTCTTGATGACAACTTCATGCAAATCCGAATCTTAGCGCATATAACATCGTCGATTTCGTCTGGAGTAATTTTATCATACAGCCAAATCAGTATGTGCGCATGCGGCAATCCTCTCTTCTGCCATTCTACTGAATACATCCAGCACCGCACAGATCCAAAAACTCCATGTTTCACAATGAAATCCATCAGTGACTTGAGCTGTTGTCTGAAAACACGGGCTGTGATGTCATGCCTATTCCTATATGATTGTCCAGGAAATAACAGCTGTACTATCTCGTCCCAAGCTGGATTGCATGTGAAGGTGATAAATAAATCTGGACGGCCGTAGCAACGAACATATGCCATGGCATCTTGAGCATATTCATGCATGTGGCGTGGACTACCTATATTTGAGGATGGCAAAATCGTGAGCTTTCCAACGTTGGTTGTATTACGGTCATTCATCACAGCATCCCGCAAATGGATATATTCCTCGGACCTAATTTTCGTCTGATTCAATCGAAGGAGCCTGACAGTATATGCAGACCTGATGCATCCGGCCAATAACGACATTGCGATTCGAGCTGCAATCAACAGTTGGATTATATCTGAATGCAAGACGATTGTATTGCAGGTTTTGATCTTCTGCAAGCTTTAAACGCGCTTCAGCTACCCTTGCCCTGTCGCGTTCATTATTTTGAGAGTGAATCAAATCGATTGCTGCAGAACGCGACTGCATAATTCTCAATCGTTTTCTCTAAAGCCTATCTGCTCGTCTTTCTGCTGATTCCGCGTTGTGCATCTGCATTGCTCTTAGCCGCTCAGTCTCTCGGATGGAGGCCCGTTCTTCGTCAGTCATATTCGTAATCTTACGTCTGTTTGCTTCTGTATTGCGAGTACGACGACCCAAACTCGACTTCTTGGGTGGCATGACTTCGTTTCTTACTGAACCTGAACAAAAAAATAAAAATTTTATCTCCAATTCCTTATTTCAATATGTTTTGAATGTTTGACAGGAAATGCTTCGATTCAGCTGGCTGCCTGTAGAGGGCGCAGCAGTAGGGGCACGGGGAAACGCTAAAAAACTGATATATTCGCAAACGCAGATAAGCTATCAACATCAAAAGTAGACAATAACCGAGCTGGAACCTCATCGCATGTTGTGTAAAAATTTGGGCTTAAACGGTTCAGAACTTTTCAAGTCTATAAAGGAAGTAGACACGAACAGAGCATTTTTATATATATATTGGAATATTTAAACAACAACTTCAGACGACTTTAGCAACTTTGACAACTGATATTCAAATCAAACGACTTCTATAAGCTTTCTATTTTAATTGTATTCAAAAACGACTCCTGAAAATGACTTCTTTTCTGCAACTGCAACATGTTCCTTCTGCTCTCTCGATCGGTCGAACGCCATTCACACCTAAATTAAATGTGTATCCCTTATCAGACTGTACCTCAATACTTTACGTATATGTATATCTCAAATTGGATGAAAATCTGTTGAAAACTGAAGAAGTTTTAATTTTTTATGGTATTAATTTATCGATCGCTGCTATGGCAGCTATAGGATATAGTTATAAGAAAAAAATCTATTACTTGTTAATAAATATTTAATTTAAACCCAAATTTGTAAAGGATTTTTTGTACGATACAAACGTTTGTTAGATTTAGAGGAATAATGCAAATCTCTGAATGTAAAACTTTAAAAATAATATGAATAGGTGAATGAAATGAAAGCATGTAATTACTTCATTGTTTTTTAACATAAATTTATATAATTTGTATTGTATTAATTCCTAGTCATCGAATTTCTATTTGCAAGGGTATGTAAACTTCGGCATGCTGTTTACCTTTCTTGTTTTTTTTTTTTCAAATATATGTCAGGTTTAAATAAATAAGATTAAATTTTATTGTACGTATGTGCTGTTGGTTTTTCATTCGGGGTACCGATGTTAGCTTCCTTTGTTGCCTTAATTATTTTATTTATTATCGGATATCCAGTACTGGATATAATAAAATTAACTCAGTGTTTATTAGCAGCGACCTAATAAGAATTTAAAATCAATGGCGCGACTTTGCCAAAATATAACAATAATAACTCGTCAACATGCAAGCAGCAGCTGTGGCTACGATTGTTTCATGATCATCATCAAACCACTTTCTAACTATTACTAGTTTTATTGGTATCTAACCCTACACCTAAACTTAAACCCGTTATGAAAACTAAGTGTCGAGGGGAGAGCAAAAGTAAACCACGGAGTTATTTTGTTGTTATTTCATTGTTTGTTTAACCACATGTTTTCTGTCTGTCAGACTGCCAGAGACCAATATAAAAATCATTTTTATTATTTTAAATGTTTGTTAATTTATTTTATAGGAACGAATTTAATTAAAAGAAGTGCAGGTTGTTAAGATATGATAAGTTAATCATTGATACGCAATTAAATAACATTCTATACTTAACTTTCCGGACACAATGATAAATTTATAAACTGAATTTTGTCTAAACAGATCTCAAAGAATATAAAAGCTAGCGCTATCAAAGTTAATGACAACATTCATATCTGTTGCACGCAGATCAAGATTATTTTAAAAATGGTCTATCCTTACTTTCACGCTCAGTGTTCTAAAAATTTGGGAATTAATTCTGTTGAAACTTCCCCATTTGCGTTGGCACCAGCAATAGCAGTTTTTTTTAATATGTTCTTAGCAAATTTGTCTTTATTAGGGTGTTCCGCAACATGTCAACATTATTTACTGACTTCCGTCTAGAGGTGCAAAAACATCAATGTATGGGGACATTTATGCATTTTATGTTTTTCACCTAAAATTAAATACACACTTATGGTTGTATTAACAACAGAAAAATTATTCACTTAGCCTCATAAAGTGTAGATTTTTATTAATGTTTATCAACTATGTCCGGGTTCAGGTGCGTTCTGCGGTTCCGACTCGCAGGAAGTGGCAGGCACAGACCGAAATTTCTGTGCGCTTTCTTTGAAATGCGCATTACTATTCAAAGATTCTGAACGTATAATCAATTGATAAGAAAAATAATGGCATACAACAATTTTGAAACTTACTAATATTGCAACGGCTCGCATACTTCAAGCTCATTAGAAGTAAAGTGACTTTTCAAATTTCTCGAGCTACATATTTTCAATCATCGATTTTTTTTGTTTTGTTATGTTGGTATACTCTTCCCTAACATCTTAATCAAGTTTCAAGTGAATCCCCTTTTTTGTTTGGTTGTGAGGGCGTAAAGGTTACAAGTTGTTTTGCGTGCTCGGCGATTTGGACCAAAGGGCTCTTCCATTGGGACGATTGGGCCTTGGTTTCGATATCATAACCATATACCCATGATTCGTCACCAGTTATTACCCTTTTGAGTAAATCTGGGTCGTCGATGACGTCATTCAACAACTCTTGAGCTATGCTCATGCGACGTTTCTGTTGGTCAAAATTCAGCAATTTCGGAACAAACTTCGCTGAGACGTCTCATGCCCAAAACGATTGAAAAAATTTCATGGCACGAGCCAAGCGATATACCGACATCTTCAGCAACTTCTCTGATAGTGATTCAAAGATTTTCCAACAAATTTTTCTTCACTGCTTGAACGTTTTCATCAGTTGCTGACGTGCTTGGGCGTCCAGAGCGAGGATCGTCATTGGCATCTTCCCGGCCATCTTGGAAGAGTTTGTACCAATTGTCAAATTTTTTTTTTTACTCAGAACAGTTTCACCGTATGCCACTATCAACATTTAAAGTGTTTCAGAGCACTTAATTTTATTTTTTACACAATTTTATGCAAATCCTTTGATCCCATATTTTTGTGATAGAAAAAAAATCGACGAGCACGCAAAACAACTTGTAACCTTTACGCCTCTCACAACCATAAAAAAAGAGAGGATTCACTTGAAACTTGGATCAGATGTTAGGGAAGAGTGTACCAACATAACAAAACAAAAAAATCGATAATCGAAAATATGTAGCCCGAGAAATTTGAAAAGTCACCTTACTTTTTGATCACACCTCGTATACATGCTGCTGAGCTTTACGATAGCTTCAGCGCACCTCTACTTCCGCCCAGTTTTTTAAGTGTTCCATGTTCATATTTATTTTATCACAAAAAATACACAGCCCCAAACTGAATCCCTATATAATATTGTCTCTATTAATAAATATTTTTTCTTTCAGACTGTCAAACAATCTTTATATTGTTTCTTGGACCAATCGATTTAAAACTCAATCATCTCACGAAGACTTGGTGGTAAATCACGAAGCTTTTTTAACAGCAAAGCAAACAAAGACCGATTTTTTGGAGGAAATGACTCTCCCAAGTGCAGCTCGTGTGTACACAGATGTGAATGCACACAAACCAGATGAATATTGGGATTATGAAAATTATGTTGTCGATTGGGGAAATCAAGACGATTATCAATTGGTCCGTAAATTAGGACGTGGAAAGTATTCTGAGGTATTCGAGGCTATTAATATTACTACCACAGAGAAGTGCGTGGTTAAAATTTTAAAACCCGTAAAAAAGAAGAAGATTAAGCGGGAAATTAAGATTTTGGAGAATTTGCGCGGTGGAACTAATATTATAACTTTGCTAGCTGTTGTCAAGGATCCAGTGTCTCGGACGCCGGCATTAATTTTTGAACACGTCAACAACACGGACTTTAAACAACTTTACCAAACATTAACTGATTATGAGATTCGATACTATTTGTTTGAGCTTTTGAAGGCTCTTGACTACTGCCACAGCATGGGAATTATGCATCGTGATGTCAAGCCCCATAATGTAATGATCGATCATGAAAACCGTAAACTACGTCTTATAGATTGGGGCCTCGCTGAATTTTATCATCCTGGTCAAGAGTATAATGTTCGCGTAGCATCTCGGTATTTCAAAGGACCCGAGTTACTGGTAGATTACCAGATGTACGACTATTCACTTGATATGTGGTCATTAGGCTGTATGTTGGCATCTATGATATTTCGAAAAGAGCCTTTCTTCCATGGTCATGATAATTACGATCAATTGGTACGCATTGCCAAGGTGCTGGGCACCGAAGAGCTCTACGCTTATTTAGATAAATACAATATTGACCTAGATCCACGTTTCCACGACATTCTGCAAAGGCACTCACGAAAGCGATGGGAAAGGTTTGTTCATTCTGATAACCAACATCTAGTTTCTCCTGAAGCACTCGACTTTCTGGATAAATTATTACGCTATGATCATGTTGACCGTCTTACTGCTCGTGAAGCTATGGCTCATCCATATTTTTTACCGATTGTCAACGGGCAAATGAACCCCAATAATCAGCAATAGGAAAAGATTTCATTTTGATGAATACTATGTTTTTCAAGATCGGGATAGCAGCCATTTAACATTTATGATAATAATTATGAAAAATATAAAATCTGAAAATAAAATTAAGGTACTGTCTTTAAAATTTATTTGATTAACTGTTTATAGAGGAAAGATACATCCACGTAAAACCAAGTTCTTACAATAAAATGACTAGTTCTCTACAATATTATGAACTATTTTTGGTTGTATATTTTTAATTTTTAAAACTGGTTCGTATTTAAAAGAATTCATAAATAACTAGCTGTACCCTGCCACGTTTCTCTGTGGCATATTGTGGTTAAGAGGGCACTTCAGAATACATCAAGGTTCTGGCAAAAGCATCTTCCTGGCATAAGGTGAAGAAGGCAGTCAGAGTTGTCGTAGGCAGATTCAGGACTCTTATTTGCACATTTAGTTCTGTGAAATAGACACGTTGACCATTCTCCAAATTGATTGCCATGTGAACTACAGCTGGATAGCGGTCATGAATTGGGAACGAAAAAATTCGCCATGCAGCCTCGTTGCTGCTTATGTATCTTCCAGCCTGGTATTGAGAGATTTCATCGACAACTCGTACTGCATTGCTGTCACCATTTTCTGCCTGAACACCAAAAACTGCCATATCGCTGCCTTTATTCACGTACTTGCGGTTATATTTAATCGATTTCACGGAATTGCAATATTCTACGTTGATGTGCGCTTTGTATGATTTTGACAATAGGGGTGAGTATGGAACCACCCAACGATTGTCCACCTTAATATCACCAATTCTCATTTTTAAAGTTGCCGAAGTCCCGCCATCTTCAGTTGACCGTCTCCTATACAGAGGATATCCATCGTCCCCTGTTACGGTGCTGGCTGCAAATGCTCGAGGATATCGCTTGGAACACTTCCCGTCTACCATTCATGGTCAACATGGGTTGAGGGTACCATAAGGGCCATGGATCATGTTCTTGATGACAACTTCATGCAAATCCGAATCTCAGCGCATATAACATCGTCGATTTCGTTTGGAGTAATTTTATCATACAGCCAAATCAGTATGTGCGCATGCGGCAATCCTCTCTTCTGCCATTCTACTGAATACATCCAGCACCGCACAGATCCAAAAACTCCATGTTTCACAATGAAATCCATCAGTGACTTGAGCTGTTGTCTGAAAACACGGGCTGTGATGTCATGCCTATTCCTATATGATTGTCCAGGAAATAACAGCTGTACTATCTCGTCCCAAGCTGGATTGCATGTGAAGGTGATAAATAAATCTGGACGGCCGTAGCAACGAACATATGCCATGGCATCTTGAGCATATTCATGCATGTGGCGTGGACTACCTATATTTGAGGATGGCAAAATCGTGAGCTTTCCAACGTTGGTTGTATTACGGTCATTCATCACAGCATCCCGCAAATGGATATATTCCTCGGACCGAAGTTTCGTCTGATTCAATCGGAGGAACAGCAAACGTTCTGTTTAAATTTTTGCATACATATCGACAATGTACTGATGAAACAACTGACGACATTTCAATATATGATTGTCATCGGTCCTCCGAACCATTAATCGGTATGAGTAAAAGTTCATCGCGCTGCACTTTTTATTCGTTTCTACACCATTGACTGGATCTACCATTTTCACATTAAAATGGTATCCATCGGCAGCATCCCAGAAGATGAGTGGATACTGCAAAGCATCGTAACAACGGTGAGTTTCTGCGACGTTTACCAATTGATCGTTTCGTCGATGGAGAATAATATCTCGAGGTTGGCACTGATCCCCGACTATGACAATTGCCACTTCGTCTATAGTTGGAGCATTATATCTCCTGATATGTTCTCCAGCAGGCGTTTTGTCTGCATGAATGACAATTTTATTGGTATCCGAAGATATCATATCGATTGCTGTTTTGAACAAACGCACCAAATTGTTCCTTTCGTGAAAAAGCTTCTGTAGCTGCGAAATAATGTGCCTCTTCAGCGAGGTATTGATTCCATAACGTGCATCTACTTCATCTCCATCATCACCAATGAAGTACATTTGAAGAAATTTGTGTTCGCTGTCTGGGAACGGAAGCAGGGAACCTGCTTTGTGATAGATTTGTCCTTTGATTTTAAAAGTTGGCATGAATTGCGCATTTATAATTTCCGCACCAAATGACGTCGTTTGGAAGCAAGAGTTGTACTTTTCCTAATGTTCGACAGGAAATGCTTCGATTCAGCAGTAGATCCAGCGAATAGAGAGTGCAGAGGCTCTGGTGGTGCTTCAAGTTGAGGCAATTTCACTTTCCCGAAAGCGCAACACAATCCTTTTGGTTCGTTTTTGAATTTGAGAGCCTGACAGTATGTGTGTACCTGATGCATCCGGCCAATAACGACATTGCGATTCGAGCTGCAATCAACAGTTGGATTATATCTGAATGCAAGACGATTGTATTGCAGGTTTTGATCTTCTGCAAGCTGTAAACGCGCTTCAGCTACCCTTGCCCTGTCGCGTTCATTATTTTGAGAGTGAATCAAATCGATTGCTGCAGAACGCGACTGTCTAACTCTTAATCGTTTTCTCTCAAGCCTATCTGCTCGTCTTTCTGCGGCCCGTTCTTCGTCAGTTATATTCGTAATCTTACGTCTTTTTGCTTCTGTATTACGATTACGACGACCCAAACTCGACTTCTTGGGTGGCATGACTTCGTTTCTTACTGAACCTGAACAAAAAAATAAAAATTTTATCTCCAATTCCTTATTTCAATATGTTTTGTATGTTTGACAGGAAATGCTTTGGCTGCCTGTAGAGGGCGGTAGATGTAAGGTAGTTTTTTGATATTTTTTTAACACCTTGGATTACGTTATCGTAATTTTAGTAAGGATGCCTATTTTTTTTTTAAATGAAATATAGCCTATGTCACTCAGGAATGATGTAGCTTTCCAACAGTGAAAGAATTTTTCAAATCTGCCAAGTACTTTCCGAGCCTATTCAATTCATACAAACAAACAAACAAAAAATCAAACCTTTCCTCTTTATATAATAGTATAGATATAAGTATGGCTATACCATGACGTAGCCGTTTTTGGAAAACATTTTTTTTAACAAATGGGAGCACTTCGAAAAAAAATTTTTAGACGAAATTTTTTACTTAAAAACGCAAAAGATAAGATAAAGAAAGTACTCTAAGGTATACCGGCAGCGCTCACTTCTAATGGCTGTAGAATCTACAAGTAATGGGATATTTTTAAGCCAGATGTCTTAAAATGACCGTAAGAATATCGGCATTAAGATTAAGTAAAAACAAGAAAGGAAGCTAACTTCGGCACGCCGAAGCTAATATACCCTTGCTGATAGAACTTCAGTGACTAGGAATCCATACAATATAAATTATATATATTTATGTTAAAAAACAATGAAGTAATACCTGCTTTCATTTCATTCACCTATACATTTACATTCACAGATTTGCATTTTTCCTCTACATCAAATGATCATTTCTATGGCAGCTATATGATATAGTCGTCCGATCCGGCTCGTTCCGACATATATACGAGTGAAAGTATATAGAAGACTAACTACAAATTTTTATTCAGATAGCTTCAAAACTGATAGACTAGTTTGCGTTGAAACGGACAGACGGACATGGCTAGATCGACGTCTGTTGATCCTGATCAAGAATAGCTATACTTCATATAGTCGGAGGTGCCTCCTTCAGTGCATTGCAAACTTCTGATTGAAACTATAATACCCTGCAAGGGTATACAAATCAGATTTTTAAAAAATTTACCCCCTCAAAACCAACAAAAATTAGCTTTGAACAAGCTTCGATTGGCGGATTGCAGTGTCTGGTCTCGAATTGACTCAGACGGTTAGAGTCTGTAGTCATATTAGTTATGTTTTCGAAACTCTTGATATATGTAATTATATACAAATATGTCTGAGAGTTGGTACCAGAGTTTGCAGGGTTGGGTACCACTTCCCAAGAAAATCGCAACATACTTGTTACTTAACCGTTTAATTCAAAATAAATTCGAAGTGAAATCTGACGTGGGTTCCTTTTTCTATTCTCTCTCTCTGTTAAACGGCGAGTCCAGGCTTGTTCTCTACAGTTAGTTGCGGGTGCTTCCATTCTGTTGACTGTTTCATAAAGCGCGTGTTGAATTGTTACAATGATCCAAACATATAGTTAACAACATATAGGTTTTTTTGACAAAACTATAATTTCACAATATATTTTACATATGTGTAATTTATGTGGTTTAAATTTGCTGGCCGCCATGCAACCAAAACAAACGACATTTACAACCAACACATTGCAAAGTATTTGATTGATAAATTGAAGAACGAACGAACGAACGTCAAAAATTTAAAAAAGTAATGGGACATCTAAGAATGAAATTTATGAAATATTTTACTACAAAAAGTATGCGTATATATGAACATAGGTGGTCAAAAGTATTTACACAACGACCAAATTTTTTTTTTTAGTTATTCTTAGTGTTGACCGATTTCCCTGAATTTTTTTTATCGCATAGATTGAAGCAAGCTAAAAAGGAATTCTAAAGTTAACGGTTCATAGAAAAATGCTACATATAAGTAATAGAATAGATGCATCCAAGTGTAATATGTACACCGTTTTTTTTCGTCTTAAGTTAAATATTATTAAAATGTAAAATTTTTTTGTAGCAAAAATTTCAAATGTCACTTATTAATAGTTAAAATAATTTGCTTTGGTATCGATGATGGCTTTCAATTTGTGGGAATGGAGTTTATTAAGCTATATTCAAAATAAAATTCATGTTTCTTTTGCTTTTAATATTGTCCTTTGAACCTTTATCTTTTGTTTTCGTTTTCAGCTTGTTTCTGTATAGATCAATCTATGCGATACATTTCAGCGAAATCGGCCTACAACAACAAGAATAATAACAAAGAAGTTAGGCGGTGAAAATAATTCACGGTAGATTCAATAAACTCCAATCTTCCAACTCCACTTGCGGCTGTCAGTTGCAGATTTTGGGTATCTAAGGCTGTACCGTTTTTGCGCCATACAAGGTCACGCCCTTTTATGCCAAATAAGTAAAAGTAACCTTGTTCCAGACAGTTTTAGGCTCCTGGTTGAAATTTTTTTTTTTTTTTTTTTGGCAAAATGCAATCTCTTCCCTGTTTGATGGCGATATCAAGGGCTTCTTCCGAGCAATGCTGGCATATAGGT